AAGATATGACAAAATAATAATAATTTATAAATTATCAAGGGTTCACGAGGGAGGTGGAGGGGAGGGAGGGGAACAATGAGGCGCTGATACCAAGGGCTCAAGTAGAAAGCAAATGTTTTTGAGAATGATGATGGCAACAATTGTGCTTGCCACAATGAATGGATGTATGGATTACGATAGGAATTGTACGAGCCCCCAGTAAAATGATTAAAAAATGAAATCTTAAAAAAATTAAAATAAAACATTTATAAAATAGTTCCGATCCAGCCTAAACCTGGGTATTTCCTACAACAATTGAACTAACAGGAAGAAATGCAAATATCCTCATTGTCTCTCGGAACCAAATGCAAATAGAATTGATGTGTCTTCACCTTGAGTCCCTGAACCTGCTTGAAGCTGCCCGTGAAGTTGGCCTCTGGCCTCATTCAAGAGGACAGTGCGTGGCCCTAGTATCGCCGCCCTGGATTCGTCTCTTTATCAAACTGTACAGGGTTGAAGCCACGTAGCTACTTTATTTGTGAGGTAATTGAAGGCCGGGGTGGTCAACAGGACTTTCTCAAATTTATAGCCTGTTAGTGCTGGAGCCGGGCTAGGAACCAAGGGTGGTGGTATGGGGTGGGCTCTTTTGCTATGAGGGCACTTGAGAGGGCATTCATGATTCTTGCTGCCCCCGAGAGTTTCTGGAGAGGGAGCCCTAAGGAAACTGTGGCTCTTGGCAGAAGGAGCTTCAGAAAATAGCTGTGGGCACCCAAGGCTCTCTGTCTCTCACCTTGACGGTCCAAACCTGGGCAGTTTCACTTCCTAGGACTCCCTTCCAGGAGCACTGGTGGTATCATGGGTTAAGGGTTGTATTGCTAACCAAAAGGACAACAGTTCAAACCTACTAGCTGCTCCATAGGAGGAAGATGAGGCAGTCTGCTTCCATAAAGAGTCTCCGCCCTGGAAACCCTCTGGGGCAATTCTGCCCTGGCCTCCTGAGAAAATAAGTCAGAATCCCTCTTGAGAATTCCTGGGTAGGGCAAGCAGTTAGTTAACTGAGAGCTTAGGACTCAAGTTCACCGAGGGGCACCTTGGAAGAAAGGTCTGGCGATCTACTTCCAAACAAATCAGCCATTGCAGTCCCCACAGAGCACAACTTTACTCCCTGGGGATTGCAATTTTCAGTGGCCCTTTTAGGAAAACTCCAAGTGGGGGTGGAGAGCCATTGAGCAGGGGGTTTGATGAACCTGTAACACTCTTGCTTCCCAAAGGGTTCTGCTTGCCTCCCCTTGGACAGCATGCTGCTATTTTCCGTTTAAATATTCAAAACCTATTTCTTAAATGGTTTTCATCTGAAAGCATTCTCTTGCATTACTATTTTCTTCTCTCTCCATTTTTACAGTGACTTCAGAGCCCAGCATTATTGTCCTCAGGACCAGTATCGTGGATAACAGGATTTGTCTCTTCATGTTTTCCAGGACCTCTTAAGTGAGAGCCTTCAACTCGTCCAGAAAGATGGTGGCCCTATCCTTAAAGATCTGTGTCCGCCACTGCAACGTGGTGAAGACCATGCAGTTCGAACCGTCCACGGCCGTGTATGATGCCTGCCGGGTCATTCGGGAGAGGGTACCCGAGGCACAGACGGGCCAAGGTGGGTCATGGGGCATCTGTTGGTTTCTTGCAATGTGCACCCATGTAGCCTGCATTTCCAGGCTAAGCAACCCGAAGTGCCAGGTGGTCAACAAGCCCCCGGTGAGTGTGTGGTTAAGTAGAGTACCTTCTTAGATCCGGCGCTGCCTGCTTCCTGTGCGAGGCTCCGGATAGCCATGACCCCTGCACAGCTGAACCACCGTATTCGTCACTTCACGCTTCTCTTCGGGGTCGTCCCCTATGTCACCATCGGGCTCTGCAGTTTGCAAATCACGTTTTGCTGGACCACTTCCTTCTCCCAGTAAAGTCTAACTGAGCCTTCTCTAACAGTTGTTGGGTGTCTACATCCTGAACCCTGTTTCTCGTGTTTGAAAGCTCCCTGCATGCAGGAGCCTGCATGGCTGGCTCCACCATCATTAGGATCCAGGGAAATCTTAACACCGCAAGCACTTTGACGGGCCTTTGTACATTTCACTGCCAAGATTAAAATGAAAGGATTTGTGGTCTCTGTTC